GTTCGTATAACATGTGAAGGACTGAAATCAAATACTAAAGAGTATAGGGAGAGCCTGGGTGCAGAGGCAGGCCTGGACATGTCTTGGTGACGGGTGAGGACATGCCCAGCCTGGACGCTAAAAGAAGAAATCTGGAAAACGAGCCAGAGAGCCTAATGTAATCAAGCAAAGCAGAAGGGGACAAGTGATGACCAAATATGGAAGAGCATGAAGCCTGGTATGAAGTAATCAAGTCCCTGAGAAATCATGTAATGGTGTATCTGCTCCCCATACACAACAGCGAGGGGAAAAGAGTATAAATAAGCGGAGAAGCGGAGAGCTTTGGGTTTGTCCGTCTCCAGCAAGTGGAGCAGGCAGCAGCAGGCCAGAGACCAAAAAGAAGCAGCGCCCCGGACCCAGAGGGAAGACAAGCCTCCGCTCTGCTGGATGAGAGACGGGACCCGATGCCCAACAGCTTTGGCTCCTGATTCGACCGAGGCTCCACCCTCAACCCAAAAAGATCTCAAGAATTACTGCAACGGACTTGGGGATCGGACAAAGATCACATCAGTGATGAAGATTTGGGACGTTTGAAAGATAACCAGCTTTGCTTTGTTCCTATCCGAAAGAGGATTCGTCATACCAAGACAAGACTCTGTCCAAGGATATTCTTGCCTTCTGTTGCTGAGATCCATCTAAATATGAGTTGCCTTCACCCCAAAAAATCCTTACTTAGTAAATTGATGGCACAGTTCAGGGAGAGGAGTTAGGAGAGGTTTATGGTGATTTTATTCAAATTTATTTTCTAATTCTTAGATACTTGTAATCATTGATAATTAATCTGATTGCCATTTACTCCTGCTTAAAGCTTGTTAAATAAATATATTAAAATTCTAACGAGGTTTGTGGACATTGAAATTAATTGAGTCATTTCATTAGTATTGGTTCTTCTACTTAATGTAAATTTATATTCATGGTTCTAGAAATGTGGAGGCTCCAGACTTTCCTTTAGTTGACACATAAAATAATGACCCTGGACTTAAAGTGACTGAAACTATTCTAGCTGTTAACAAGTGCTGGTTATCCTTAGAGAGAGGGCTGCCGTTAACAGAAGTGGTTATTGGAGTTATGCAGTTGTGACGGCTACTCAACTGATTGCTTCTTAACTGAAAAGGGTCATAACTTCTGGATTGTAGGTAGTTAGAGCTAGACGAGTCTCTCTCTGTGCCAGCTTAGACAGATTGTCCCTCTCAGTCCTTCTGCAGGGTAATACCCAGGTCTTAGGGACTTTCCGGACCCGTTAGACGGAGAGCTGGTCAGTATCAGCCCAGAGGAGCGGTGAGGGTTCGGCCGGCTATTGCGTAATAACAAACACCCTTAAGACCAGGGAGGCTTGAAGTGCCCAGATTTCCACTTGTATTACTATGCTGTGCAGTTGAGGTCTATGATGTTTTATTACAGTCATCATTCTCTACATTGGACTGACAGAGACTCAGGATTTAACATCGATTCTCCCTTCATATTTATATTCAATATTAAAGATACTAAAAATCCATTTCTTAGAAATATGATAAGACTATGGAGAGATGTAAAAAATGTTAAATGAACCAAATTGTGTGTCTGTGTTCAGTCCGGTGTGGGGGAACCAATGTTGTGCACTTGGTATGGCTGATTCAACATTTAAAGCGTGGAAAGACTCAGGAATCTTTATGTACCAGATTCAGACGAAATAATGAGCTTTCAGGATCTGCAACATAAACTCCACCTGGATAAGAAACACTTCTTTAAATATCTTCAACTCAGAAACTTCATCAGAACGAGTCAAAATAATGAGCTGACAAAACCAAGTTTAGAAAAACTGTTAACAAAGGAGAGTTTGAAGAAAGGTATCATAGGAGAGTTTTATCACTCGATGGTGTTACACATCTGAAGGATCTCATGATAGATTGAAGGCTTGGAAAGAAGATTTACTGCTAGAGTTATCTGAGGAAGATTGGCAAACAGCAGGCAAACTGGCCCACACCAGCTCCATCAACAGCTCCTAAATGGTCCAGTTCAGATGGTTAATGCGGGTTTACATGACACCAGTGGAGCTAACTGGTATAACTGGGAGATACCTGATGTATGTCCAAAATGTACAGAGGACAGAGGAGCTCTGGCTCACTGTATGTGCTATTGGAGGAAAATATATTGTTTTGGAAAGAAGTAAAACTGAGAAAATAATTTCCAAACAAATAATTTTTGATCCAAAGCTGTTTGTGTTTGGACTGAACCCTGGAAAACATAATTATACTGAAAACAAACTGACATTTATAAACCTGAGTTTGCTCAATGCCAAAAGATGTAAATCATTGTTTTGGAAAAAGACTCATAGAGCGACTATAAACCAATGGAAGATGTTTTCTGCCCTCCCGCTGGAAAAGATCACATGTGCATTAAAGGGAAAACAGGATCTGTTTGAGTTCATCTGGAATCCCTTCATTAAGGATGTCAAGGATCTGAACATGTGGGATGACTGAAGAACATGTTCACTGCAGTTCCCACAGACTATTAGAGGACATACACTGTTGGTTTAATATCTCAATATAAAGATGATATGTGGAATATGTGATGTTGCATTAGAACCAGGATTGTGAGGCATTTTATCTGTTTTTATTTTCACCTGAACAAAGCTGCTGCTACTGATCTCACATTATACAAAATGTTCAAGCTGTTTGTCTAAACTGCTAAAACTCCAATCAAGAGATTTTGAAAAAAATAAAATCTATGTATAACTCTGATTTTGCCATATTTAACATATTGTTCAGAGGTGTTGGGAATTAATGACTAAAGCTCTTTACAGCCACTGAGTTCCTACAGAAACATTACAATCATCCATAATGTTGGTTATTATGAGGCCACAAACCCGTTAGTATTAAAATCTAAAACTCTTAACCTGAAGAGCTGCTGGGTTTTAAAATTGCTCAAATGATGTTTAAGGCCTGTAATAAACTGCTGCCTGAGCTCATAGAGAGCATGTTTTATGGAAGAGAAGAGGATAAAACTTCAACTCAAACTGAAGGATTTGTAGTTTAGCAACAACAAGAAACAGCTTTTGAGTTTCAATTCATGGGGGAAAATTATGGAACAAGTTAAATGAGGAGTTAAAGTCAAGATTAATACAATTTAAAAGGAAATATAAGGAGGTCATTTTCACACCATATAGAATTATGGGTGATTGTTGGCACTAATGTGTTTCCGTAAACTGAGGCTAATGCATATGTTTGGGTATGGATGTATATATTTAGACATGTAAACCCAGATAAAATGGATAATTAATTAACCAGTTTATTTTTATTTCTGATTGATTTATTAATGAGGATCCATCTGAAAATATTGTACGAGTTCATGGGGTCAGAGGTCATGAGTTCCTTCCTTCTTCCTGCTCCTTTTCCAGCATGTTAAGATTACTGAGGTACTAAAATATGTCTGTTGCATTCCTTGTTCTTGTGCAGGATTTTATCCGACTATCATGTTGGAAATAAAGTTTCATTCATTCATTTTAACCCTGATGGACGAGAGAGCAGACAGACGGCCACCAAGAAACGGATCAGCATCCGGTCCAGAACCTTCCTGTAACAGAACGGACCTGATCAATATATGGAGAAACAAACATGTTGATTCCAGTGTTTAACATGGAGGAACAGGGACAGATCTCAACAGTCTCACTGAGACTTTTGGCTGATTTCTTTGGATATTGTAGATAAAGTGATGGACTCAGAGATACAAGCTTCTATCCTTACAGACCACAAGGCCATTATTATTAAAATAGATAGAAATTAACCTGCCGCAATCAGAGCAAAGATTACTGGACATTTAATACAACTTGGCAACAAAGCAAAGGATTTACCAACAAGTTGCTCTGAAAGGCCTCAGAACAGGAAGATGAGGGTCTGTGGAGCTACAAGAACCAGGAATCAGACCAAAGCATTGCAGTTATACTTTATATAGGCCATCAGTGAAGGATTCACATGGGAAAAGGATTTAAAAGCCTCATATGTTTAAAAGATCCCAGAACCATGAAAGATGCAGGAGCGGCTCGCCTCGGCGCCCCCTGCTGGCTGAACCAAAGACCTTCACATGAAACTAAAACCATCAGAAGAACCAAAGTGGAGTTTGGAGGAGGTTCTGCTATTTGACACAACAGTGAATGAATCAGAAATGATTTGATGCTCATTTGATGGATTCCATCACATTCTGACTTTCAAACTGTGGATCCAAACTGAGACTCTAAAAATGACAGGAAGTTCTGTAAATGTAAACCACAATAAAACCTCAGAGAAGAAATGAATGGAAATAACATTATTACAGTTCTGCAGTCATTTCATACATCATCTACCTAAAAATGGAAAACAAATTATACAGAGATGAAAAGTACAAAACTTCTTCCTCTGTTTTGTTTCCAAACAAAAACTAAAGTCAGACTAAAGAATCAGAAATGAAAGATTAACGCTGCCCTCCTGCAACAAGATTCAGTTTCTGCTGCTTCACAAACATCATGTAGAGTTTATCATTGTTCTGAAACCTTTATGGTAAACTGGATGATAATCTGGATTATGAAGCTCTGATGAACCAAAGTGTTTGGAACTGAACTGAACAGAAAGTCTCTAGACCAGATTAAAATCTGCTGGGATTAACCATGGACAACATGGACTTGGATTATTATCACAGGATTTTCTGGTATTTACTGGATCATAAAAGTGATGATAGAAAGTATAAACACAGCATTGATCAGGGGAATAGTCAAAGCAACACTAATAAACACTTAGCAGGAAGTGAAAAGGTCATTTCAGATTCATTCAGTAGTTCAGTTTTATCACTCAGCAGCTAAAAATAGACGCATTCATTAAACATGTTGACATTAATTTCTGCTGTCATGGAATCAATAGTTGGAAAGTCAGAGATGAAGAGTCTCCAGATGATCAGATCATCTCCAGTTTCCTCTTTAAAACTCACAGTTTCAATCTGATCATAAGTTTTGATTTGGATCATCAGAGCTGCTGCTTGATCACTGAGATCTTCATCGGTTCCATCTTTAAGGTTTTATTAGTGTAGAAATATGGAAACATCTTGTCAGTGAAGGTGTGTGTGAAGGTGTGTAGGTGTGTGTTAGTATCCAGATCAGAGAAGGACAGCTTTCCTCTGTCCCAGTCCAGATTCACTCTGATCCTCTGGAGATTCTTCTGGACTGAGAGACGAGTGGAAGGAGCTGATGGAGAATATGCTGAGTATCCCAAGATATTTAACCGTATAAACAACAATCCAGACTTTATGCTTCCCTTCCTCTGAACAGACTTTAACACACCAAGTCTCCAGATTTTACTGTCTCCAACATCAACATCCCAGCTGTGGTTCCCTGAGTTAAAACCATCAGAACTCAGAACAGACCAGTAATAATCAAATCTCTCTGGATTATCAGGAAGCTGCTGTTTCTCTCCTCTAGTCAAACTGGTCAGATCTTCAGACAGACAGAGGTCTGAATCAGCCGTGTTTGGGTCCAGAACCAGAGGAGTGTAGGTCACCACGGTCTCCATGTTGCTCCAGATGTTGAAGGCCAGGTTGCCCAGATGTTTGGCCTGGTCTATCAGAGCTCCTGAGGGCAGCTGTGGATCCTCCAGCAGGGGGCAGCGCTGGACTCTTTCCACTGCAGCCTTGTAGTTGTGCAGGAATGAGACGTCTTCAGCTCTCAGCTCCTCCTCTGTGGCTCTGACTGTGTCTGAAAGAGCTGCTATCTCTCTGCTCAGAGCCTCCATCTTCTCCTTCATCATCCCTCTCTTCTGCTCCTCTTCCTCCCTCAGTGCAGCCAGCCTGGCCTCCTCTTCCTCTGCTAGAAACTGATGAAGCTGCTTAAACTGCTCCCTAATCTGCCCCTCTGTGTGTCGGGCCTGGACCTTCAGGTGTTCTGCTGTCTGATCAAACTCCTCCTGAACTTTCTTCCTGAGCTCCAGCTTCTTCTTTAAAGGCTCCAGAGTTTCCTGAAGCTTCTTCTTGTGTTGCTGAGCAGCTTCATCAATGGGTCTGATTCTGTGATTGGTGTGTTTTTCTGAGTCTCTGCAGACGACACACACTGGCTGCTGATGGTCCAGACAGAAGAGTTTGAGTTTCCCAGAGTGCAGACTACATCTCTGAATTTTGGGTCGTGTTTTAGATTTTACTTCTGAAGCTCTCTGCTCTCTCTGCTGTACGAAAGTCTCACACAGATTCTTCAGAGCCAGATTTAAAGGTGGATGTTCTTTAGAAGATCTCCTTTTACAAACTGGACACTCTCTTCCTGGTTTCTCTCTCCAGTGTTTCTGCAGACACTCCTTACAGAAGCTGTGGCTGCATGACAGAATAACTGGATCCTTAAATATCTCCAGACAGACCGGACAGCAGAGATCATCGTCTGATCTGGAAGCCATTTTGTCTCAGAGTGAAGCTGAAACCACAGCAGACAGAACTTCAAACCAGGAAGTCAGTTTCTCTCCTGTAGAAACTTTCTGAACTTACTTTCACTTTGATCTGCTTGTTGTTCCTCCTGCAGCAGTCTGTGTTCCAGTGTCTAGTTGCTCAGTTCTCTCTCTGTTCTCCTTGTTCAGTTTGATTTCAGTCGGAGACGAAGGCAGGTGTCAAAGTTCATCCTCAGGGTGTTTACTCAATCAGTTTTTCTCTCAACTGTTTCCTGCTCATTTTTTCCAAGACTTCCCGTTGGAATTCCAGTCTGGAGGCAGAGATGTGGCGCCCTCTGGAGGATTTTATGTACATCTGCAGTTTAAAACAACAATACTGGTGATGATGGTAGTTTTTGGTGTTGAGTGAAATTCTCCTGGGAAAAAAATTCAAAAAAGTTTTTTTAATCAGAAATGTTTTGACTCAAATTTGATCAATTCTGTGAAATTTCTTTTTTCAAACTGAAACTTTAAATCCAAATACTGTGAATGAAAACCAAAATAAAATATATCAGATAATAATAAGTAAAATAAATAAAAATAAAAAATCTACAGCAGTAGAAGAAATACTCACTATTGATAGCTGATGATTGTCCTCCACCAAAGCTGGCAAACAGCAACACAGACATTACTCTCTATTAAAGCCGACTGACTGGTTGCTAGTTGAACATCTGAGAAAAAGAGTCAAACTGTTTATTAACTTATTTCATACTGATTTAGTGGCTTCTAATATTTTGGTTCAGATGTTTTCTGTTTTGTTGCCATAGATAGATTCAATAACATTTGTGTTATGAGATTTTCTCTTGGTGCCATTTTATAGCACAATCAATAATTATATCACTAGTTTTTAAAAAGCTTTTTACATTAGATATGAATAAAAATAAATTTGCTTTTGTAATTTTGTTCTTTAAATTGTGCCTTTTTTCCCTCTTTATGAACCTGCTGCTCTTTCCAACTCCACCTTCAGGAAATCACCCCAAAATGGCTCCTCTATTAACCCTTTAGCAACATTTTTACCAGCGTTGAAATGAGAATTAGCTCCTATAATGAGCTCAGCGGATACAAAGCTCCACCAGGTGTTTGCTAACTGCTGTATGTAGATAAACTCTCTCTAGATTTTATTTTTCTTTTAATATATTGAGACAAAATAGTGTTTCTGGGAAATTTGAGTAGATAATTTTTACTTCAAGATGCTAAAAACCAAATCCAAAAATAATCATCATGATGTTCAGGTAGAATATCGACATCTACAGTAAATGGCTCCCTTCCTTTCTAAGAAGCACATCAGTCTGGATCTGCATCAAAAGCCACCAGTTTGCAGAATTAATAAACACATTCACAGTAAAGCCATTAGTTCTTTATCAATAATAAAAACCTCACTGTACTTCTGGATATTAATGATCAATATCAGTTTCCTTGCTGATCAATACTGAATAAAATTGATTCTGTATTCAGATTCAACAGCTGCGATTCAAATCTTGGAGACCTTAAAATAATTCATCAATCTAATGTATTCATGTTAAACTCAGAAGTACATTGAGGCGTCATTATCCAGGATATTTTTATCGTTTTAATAGTTTTCCAAGAACACAGACATACAGTGAACAGTTTGACTCCCTCTAACTAAAGTTACAGAGCCACTAATGTGACGAGAAGCAGTTGATACAAAACAAAAAAGAAAAGGTCATTACTTTAACTATACAGTTGGTGTCAGGCTCCGATGAATGATCCATTTCTTCCAGCATCTGTTGTATTTATAAGTGGCAAGTCTTAATGAAAAGGTCAGTCTCTCCATTCTGTGAATTTCCTCAATTATGTCCTTCCAGTCCGAACATGATGGTGGTTCCACATCAAGCCACCTGCGAGTTACAGCTTTCTTTGCAGCTGCTAATAGCATCAACAGGTGATTTCTATCAGACGTCTTCAGTTCCTGGGTAAATTACCAGGAAAACCACAGGAAACCCACAGCGTCAATTTAAGCCCATTTTAATATGGATTTCTTTCATGACTTCTGACCAGTAGGGGGCGATCTTAATACATTCCCAGGAACATGAAAATGTCCTGCAGACACATTCCCACAGTTCCTCCAGCATTTTGCCTTTTCAGCGTCGTTACAATGTTTGCTTTTAATATCAGGTGCAACAAAAACTCATCATGAATTTCCAGGAAAATTCCTTCCAGGCTGGAACTTGAGGTGTGAATCACAGAATTGCATAAATTTAACCAAACATCATCAGTTATCCATATTTTGGCTTCTTTTTCCCATTTAACCTGAAGATATGTTGTTACATTTCCTCTCTGCTTGTAGACATGAGTATAGTTTGGATATTGTGTTTTGGGAGGTTTTCTGTTGCTTGAGTCTAAAAGGATTTTAAGTCTCATCCTCCTGCACAAGTTTATACTTTTATTGTAGTGATGCTTTAGTGAAGATATCTAAAAACATCATTTTTCCAGGTCATAGTGATCTTGAAGTGGTTTAAAACTTTTTAATTCTCTATTGCTTGTAAGCTTCCAGTAACTTGTGAAGCCTTTTTGTGACCACTGTGTAAAAATCTCTTATTCATTCTTGCAGAGAGAAAATCTCTATCATAATCAGGCCATCTTAAAATTCCAGCTCTTCTTTCAATCTTTACTTGCTTTAATATTTTCTGCCATGTGTCCAACGGCACTTTTAGCCGTAATGGAATGAGGTCAGAATCTGTTTTTAATAAGGGATTGACGTCCATCTCAAATGTGAGATTATTCTGTCCCATTGGAGGAATTGTTTGTCAGGTATCTTTACAGGCAGAGCCTGAAAAAGATAAAGGATCTTTGGTCAAAGGTTCATCTTTATTATATCTATTCCATGATGTAAGTTAATGGGTAACAAAGACCAAGGCTGTAGATCCGCCTTCATCTCTGTTGTCAGTGGGATGTAATTGCATTCAAACAGGTTGCATAACTCTACAGGGACTTTAACTCCCAGATATTTATAGATTTATTGAGCCACTTGAACCGGGACATTTTCTGAATTCTTGGTGACGGTTGATAGTTAAATGAGAGAACTTGTGTTTTCTGTAAATGTGATTTATACCCTGAGTAAGTGCCGAATGTCTTGACCTTCCTATGGTGTTAGGGTCCATATGGACCCGTTTTGAGTTTTGACATGCATAAAAATACTTCATACATTTGTTTTTTGCCTTGAAACTTTTGACTTTGTAAGGGACTACCATTTAAACAAAATAAAATCAGTTTTTTTGTTTTTTTTACTAAATTATAAAGTGCTCTGGTGAAAAAAAAAAGACTTTTGTGGTGTTCGGGTCATCTTTGACCCGGTTAAAATGTTTGATTATAAAACAAGACAAAATGCCAAAAATGAAATCAAAACACACAATCAACCAACAGCCTCTTCTCCAACCACTTGAGCTTCATTTAGGGGCTTTTCTCTTTGCCTTTTTGGAGAACAAACAAAGGGAGACGTGTCCAGGCATGTCAAGCCATTTGAGTGTAGAGGTGGTGACTTGCAGAGAACACATCTCCAATTCACAGGATGCAACAATGAGGAGAAGATTCACTGTAAATGAAGCTTTGGATCACATCTTTGCTGCAAATGAGGCAGAGGACACACAGGATTTTAGCGATGGAGATGAGCAGGCCTCTGAGGAGAAGATGATGTGGAGTACCAATTGGAAGAAACGGATGTGAGGCCAAATTGGCCCACAGTCCGTCTTCAACACAAGGGGGAGCAAACAACTCGAAAAACCCAAACAGCGTTGCGGTCAGGTGAAAGGTATTTTAATCAAAAGAGTCACAAGTAGTGGCACAATAAAAACTGTTCTTTATAAAATCCAATGTTCCATAAAAAAGTCACCCGTTGAAGGCCACAGGTTGGGCTCCGCTTATTTTCTTGTTCGTGGCGGTGATCTATGTGTAGCGCGCACTACAGCCGGCCGCACAGCGCTCCACCACCGCTCCACTCCTCGGCGTGCCACGCCCCCTTACGTTTCGGTCCAACTAGAAGGAAAGAACAGGAAAGCGCCAGCATCCCCGCACCAGAACTCCGTCGGAAGACGTGCTTTTTGCCAGCACTCTGCAGGATCAGCTCGACCAGAAAGGAACTTTACTTACAGGCGCGGGCAGAGGTTACCCTCTGCCCTGATCCTCTGTACTGGGCCGTCTGTCCAACTCTCGATCGCTTGTGCCGGATGAGCGGCTCCGTCTGCTCCCCACAGCGTGTCAGTTCCCGTGGCTGCAGAACCAGTTCTCTCTCTCTCTTCTTTTCTTCTTCTTGTTGTGTTTATTGGCGGTTGGCAACAAACTTAGAGTAGCATTACCGCCACTTACTGGTATGGAGTGTGGCTCGTGTTGGTCTAACGCTCTCTCTGTATATATATACCTATATATATTCTTACATACACCTACACAAAAAAGAAAAAAACATATTTATATTTATACCTACACATACATACTTACATCCATATTTATATTCTACTCATCACTATCATCCATACATTAACTCTTATGTCTACTCTATCAAATTCTACTGAATATCTTAGTTTTCTTTAAAAATCGAATAACTATTTGTATATGTTTGCTCTCAAAACTCTTCCTCAAAATATCTATTAAATTAAATTTTTCCTTAATACTTTCAAACTCTTTTTTCATATATCTCCTCTCTCTTTCATATTTATCACATTCTAGAATAACATGTTCTACTGTTTCCCATTCTCCACAATACTCACATTTACCAGTTTCATGCTTTTGAATTCTAAAAAGTGAGTAGTTAAGTCCTGTATGCCCAAATCTTATCCTTGTTATCACTCTTTCCTCTTTTCTATTTCTTCTTCCCTTTCTTCTTTCTCCTACCATCTTCTGAATCTTATAAACCATCTTCCTGTTATTTCTTCATCCCACCTTTCCTGCCTCTTTTCCGTCAGTTTTTCCTTAACTATACTCTTTCCTTCAGCTTTACTTGTTTTAACTTTAATGCTAATTGGATTTTGAATTGCCCCTTTTGCTAATTTATCTGCCCTCTCATTTCCTTCTATTCCAATATGTGCTGGAACCCAAACAAAATTAACTATCACCCCCATATTTTTTATTCTATATAATGTGTGAAATATTTCTAATAAAATGTCCATTCTACTGTCCGATTGCTTGTTTTTAATACTTAATAATGCAGATCTTGAATCTGAACAGATTATTGTTTTAATGGTTTTTTCTCTTCTACCCATT